GTTCTACAGTAGTATCAGAGGACTAGGAGAATCCCTACAGGCTTTAGCCAAAATCAGGACTCTTCCTGCCCCAAAGCAAACACTTGAGGAGGCTGGGCCTTACATAGAGGACTCCAATCGCCCTTCCCTCCTCAGTAGGAGCCTGCCCTTTTGAGATATGGGCTTACAGCCTTGAGCAAAACACAGCTTCTCTGTACCTGCCTCAGTTTCCCCATCTGTACAATGGCTATAAGAAGTCCCCAAGGACAAGTCCCCAAGGGATAGTATGAGGACTGCAGGAGTCAGTGGAGTGTCAGGAGGCTGTGACAGGAGCAGCTCAGCAACAGGGATGAGACCGAGTGGCAGTGCTCACAACACCTCTCCTGGACATGACTTGGGCAAAAATGTATGGACTGGGGAATCTGTAATGCGGGCCCCTTTCCACACTGACTGAACTGCTGAGCCTTCCTTAGTCACCTCCACCCATTCCTACTTTTCTACCCATCGTCTAGGAGAGGAGATTACAAGACGGATGGGAGGAAGGGAGCAAAGGGACAGAGTAACTGCTCTCACCAGCTCTGCCCCATCCCTTCATGTGGCTGCTGGGCCTGCAGGACAGGAGGGATGTCTGAGTGTTGGGAGCTGGGCTCAGGCAAGCCCAGAGGCAGTGGTGGAGGAGGCTTAGTAGCATCAGATGCTGAGGGCAGTCCAGGCTGGGCTAGGCTAGAGGTCCTGGGCATCAGACTTGGGCTGCCCTCTGGGAGATGCAGGGGCCACTCCAGACCATGCCAAGGAGCAGAGCCCTGGTGGCTGTGGGGACAGCAGGGAGGGGATCCAGGCCTGAGAGGTGTAGGGAAGGAGCTCAGGACACTAGCCAGCAGACACTTATTAAGTAAACACTTCCTGTGTGCAGGGTGCCAGGCACCATGCCCAGCCCATGAGATACCAAAGCTCACCAAATAGCACCCATTGCTCCTCCAAGATGTGCGTACGCCACACATTCAAGATCCTGAGGTAGCTCAGTGGTTGAGCATCGACCCATGAACCTGGAGGTCACGGTTCGATTCCCACTTAAGGGCACATGCCCAAGTTGCAGGTTCAATCCCCAGTAGGGGGCGTGCAGGAGGGAGCCAATCTATGACTCTCATTGATGTTTCTATTTCTCTCTTCCTCTCCGAAATCAATAAAAACATAAAAAAAAAAAAAAAAAAAAG